GAGACGGTGCTCTACCAACTGAGCTACGGAACAGGCAAATGCTCACCATAGATACACCGACTGAACGATCCCTTTATAACTCCAGCGATTGATAAGACAAACAGTGTGTAACTGTATATATAAATGTAAGTCTCGAAATTGCGATATCTTTGACCAAAGGTAAGGACAATTTTGCGACCCTTCCATTAGGTATAAGGCAATGGGAGAAAATCAGGGCATGTGCCTCTTTTTATAGGTAGACAAATGTCAAAGTAACGAATTCAAACATCAGAAAACAATAAAAATGACACACTTAATCGGAAAATTGCCACCAACGACCCCTCATTATGTCCTTGAGGTCATGTCAGGTCATGGAAGACCTCCAGCAGTTCTTTTTTCAATAACTTCTGATAGAGACATGCGACATGCCTGAGCGATGAAAACACCTTAGATGATTTCAGTTTGACGAAACAAATGGATTGATATGCAACATGACCTTTACCAGTCAGGTCATGACCTGGACCTGAGCTCTAATTTCCCTAATGACATTTGAATGTCAAAATATAGTTCATTCGACGCATCTCGACGAGAGGAGCACAGTACTGAAAAAAACAATGTCATAATTTTCGTGAGTCAAGAATTTGTAGATATAAAACTTTATCGGAATTCACTGGGATTGTATTGCGTATGCAAGTCCAAATATTTCGGCCAATATTGTTTGGCCTTGGTCACTGGACAACTACAATAACCCTATAAGTAAGGTCACATTGCAGCGATACCCCTGCATGAATCGCTGCAATGTGACCTTACTTATAGGGTTATTGTAGTTGTCCAGTGACCAAGGCCAAACAATATTGGCCGAAATATTTGGACTTGCATACGCAATACAATCCCAGTGAATTCCGATAAAGTTTTATATCTACAAACATAAAACCTGGGAAAAATATGACTCTAAAACAGCACGAGTCAAGAATTGTTACAGTAAAACGGTTCTTCATTAAACAGCTCAGTAGAGGGGCGGAGGGGGGTCCATTGTCCACTCCAACCCTCTCAGGCCCGGCACGGGTTAAATCAAGTTGTGCTCTGGAGGTTAAGCCGTTGATGTTAAGTCAAGTCTGAGAACTTTATAGGAACGTTGAAGAGCTATCGAATGCGCTTTTTTCGCGGTGCTGTAGTTCTATTCTTCTCCGAGTTATGCGCCAGTTTGTCAATACTTAATAGATGTTGAAACAGACAACATTTCACCCACATTTCACCTTTGATGATCTCTGGTCACCTGATATTTGACTTGACCTAACCAAAGTACGGTTAACCAACTAACCCAAGTAGTTTTTGACACTCTGCCGAATACCGCTTACCGCGTGTCGCTCGTGGCCCAGTAGCCAAGTTATAGGGGTCGGGAGGGGGTTCAAACAACCTCAGCCCGGCGCCGGTTAAGGGAAAGCACTGTCATTTTGGGGGCGCTGCAGATATGCTAAGGGACGACAGCATCATTTTGAGGCGCGCCACCAACTTTTTTTTAGGGCACTTAAACCACTTTGAGGGGCACCACCGACACTGTGAGGAGCGCAATTATCTCTTTGAGCGTTGACGGGTGGCACCATTACATTGAAGGGCGCCATGTGAGCAGTGATGTGGGGCAAAATGACAATGAGGAGCGCCTCCGGTACTTAAAGAAGAGACGCCAACATTACTCGGGCAGCATCACTTTTATTTTGAGGAATTATAGTTCAATTATCGCATTATGACGAGAGAAATACTATATCCCGGAAAAATAAACGTTATACCGCTGAGCTTAGGTTGAATCTGAAATCATTACTTAGAAAGAGTTATAAAAGAACCGTCGAACGTGTCTTTTTTTGTCATTAACCCTCGCCCTGGCAGGGCATTTTTCATAACACGGCCTGGCAGGGGGGGGGGGGGTCGATGCGACTCCCCTCGCGATTGGCTCCTATGGCACCTAGAAGCACCAAATTTGGTAGGTAGGTGGGCCCTCCGAGTTCTCGCCCCTGTGCAAATTTGGTTGTTCTAGGGCTCTAGGTCAATATTTGGGGGGTTTTGAGGGTATAAATGTAAAAATTTCGCTGAAAACAGGTCAAAAGTTTTTCGCTTATAACTTTTGATCTAATTAAGATAGAGCAAAAGAAAAGCACCAGTGAACTCAGCACGTCAAGGCGCGTCGAATGATATACTTTTTAGCTTGCTTAAGTGTACTTAAAGTTTTTCTTAAATTTTAAGTAAACTTAAATTAATAAATTAAGTTCAAGTTAACCAAATTGCATCATATCGCATATCATTCGATTCGGCTGATCACCAGGAACACAATGATACCATTTTTAAGCTCTAGCGTCATTATGTGCCAAGTTATTGGCAAAAACGTCATTTGACCTCAGTTGACCTCATTTGACCTGACCCATGGATAAGTCACACCAAACAAAGAAGCACCAAGTGACCTGCTGTTAAGTACCTGTGGTTTCAAAGCACAAAAGTGATAGAACGAAGCGGATATCTCCAGTATTTTCCGAATTAGTATTTTCCCATAGGCTTAACATTACGACGTAATGACCTCTAACTGACCTCAGGTCAGTGACCTCAAAAAACCCAACTATGTATATGTTATACAACTCGGTGAACTTAGCACATCCTGAAAGTTTGAAGGAAATCAGTTCAAAACTGTGAGTTGGACAGGTGCAAAAAGAAAAATGAAATTTGACCATGACCTTGTACCGGTTTTTCTGACCTGGTGACCTGACCCAAGGTCACCCGGACCTGAAATTTTCAGGTCATATGTAAAAAGGTTGCTCCATAGGCTGTGCCAAATTTAACGGCGCTGCGCGCCGCCGTTTTTACGCTATCTTCGAAAAACCTTAGGGGGTCGCATCGACCCCCCCCCCTGCTAGAGCGAGGGTTAAATACCAGTAGTTATGCCGCCCCCTCAGATGCCAAGTGCCGCCCCTATGAGTGCAAAATGCCGCCCCTAATTGTGATTGCCGACCCAGTGAAAATCCCTTATAATACGCCCTGACCTGGGGGTGACCATTATTTCACATTCAGCGGAAAATATTCGTGATAAGATATGCCAGATAGGCGGGGTTTGCGCAGTCTTTCTCAGCGAGAAGCAAAATACGGATTTTAAACATACCTTCTTCGTCACAGGTTATGACAATCAACCCGTCTCGGCTACCGCAGCAGATGTGAGAAATAAGTCACCTAGCGGAGTTGACCTTCACCCCAACTTTACAATCTACCTCATAGATGGGCGGTGAGGTAGCCCTGCGGCCTGCGATCGATTGCCAGAAGTGCCGCCCTCCAGAGACTTGGAGAGCGCAGCGCGGTCAGAGAGGTGGTCGTACACGTGCCAGCTCCCGCAGCGGACAGAGAAGGAAACACTGGGCAAGTGCAACTCGAAATACGTAAGCGAGAAAATAGAGAAGAGGGAGGGAGGGAGAAGTCAGAAACGTAGCCAATAACCACGAGCCCGACGCTTGTTATTGTCTCTGGTCATGCGATGACTGTGCCATGCCTCAGGCTCACATAGTTCCAGGAAGTTGGTGAGATGGCGTCTGATGTGATTACCAGCGTAGGGGAAAGTTCCATACAATAATCTAATGGAAGCCGCCCCCAACCAGAACATGGGTGCTGAATGCTGATACATTCCAGAGGCCTGTCATCTGGCGGAAGGGGAGGTACCGCCGAGTGACCCACGCCCGGCGCACCGATGGCCCCCGACCGACGGGCGGTGGAAGGTACTGGCGGGGTGCCCATCGGTTACATCACCAGGATCCAGAGCTTCAGCGCCTGTCATCGGCTGCACAGGTCAGTGAGAAGGGAATGTGCCCTCCGACAGCCGTGACAGGTCACAGGTCAGTGAATGTTGGGGTCACTCCGACAACTGCTGCCCAGGTTAGGGATGATGAGCCGTGTGAAAGCACTGCTTAGATTGGCTGATCCCTGCAGCAGCCCTGACAGGTCACAGTTCTTTAGGGGACCTGCGACAGCGCTGATCATGTCAGCAGTGGAGGTGAATCGTGACTTCCGGCACGCTCTTAGCATAAACATAACATATACGGTCAAATCATCACATCCGTTAGCTTACTTCAGTTTTGTATATTGTACGTTATCGTGTCATGTCGACTAAACGTACTATATACTATATCCATATGGACATAAATACCCACAAATGTGTTGCGATATCAGACGTAGGTATTAGCCCTCCCTGGTTCGCCAGGCCGCCCTCCATTAAAGGACCTTCCCACCTTAACATTAGTTTTGAGTTGAGATAGCCAAGTTTGCGGCCAGGCTCAGAAACCACCATTTATCCTGGTCGCAACCCCCGCAGCTTTATGGTGTTCAAGAAATTTCTTCCCTTTACTTGCAGGGTGGGACCAGCGTGGTCCCTATCTCTTAACCATTACGGGAATCTGATGACGTCATCAGGCTTTCGAACGTCCGTTAAATGTTTGACTAAAACGTTTTGTAGCACGCGGTGGTATATGCTGCTTTGCGCGCAACAAATGCCGCACTTTCAAATAAAGTCGCTAGGAACAGCGGAGATCCCAAAAAGTAAACAAAAGTAAAGTCTAATATCTTGAAAACCGGTGAATATTTTTCGATGAAATTTGGTAGATATTCGTTTTTGCTCTTTCTGAACCGAGCGACATCACTTTCATGCCAATTCATTAACTTTTTTGAAGGTGGGAGGGTCCCTTTAACTGCGCCAGGACGCCAGTGCTGTTTCCTGTTCAGTGCACAGTGCATGAGACGGCGTTGCTATTAAGTTCGCGGAAGCTTGGCAAGTTCATGCCAATGCCCAGTGATAAGCTTTCGCTCTCGTGAGTGGGGGAGGGAGGGGTTGCCAGTTGTCACACTCTTCAGGTCTTTATATACCTACGTGCAGGGAAAGCTGTGGCGCATAGCTCATACCCCCCCCCCCCTATGGCGAGGTTGGCTGAGACCCCCACTCGGGTGAGACTAAAATACACGGTTTATGTTCCTTTCACAGCGTGCACCTATCGATGAAGAAAATAAGAAATATTCGGAAAGTGCAACCACGTCAATGGACACGGCCACAATTACAGAGGTGAGGACGGTGAGCTGTAATAAAGTGACCGGTAACGCAATTGTACGTGATATTTATCTGGTTGTTTCTTTTTGTCATTTCACATGCATCGTCGATCGCTTGTAAGTTGTAGGTGCAACACGCCATTTCGAGCAGAAAGTTAAGAGGCAAAGAAAGTCGAATTCATTGCACCCCACTGATGACGCCCGGCTCATGGCTGATGATGCACCGACGATGCCCCTTTGATGACGCCCTGTGATGTCACCCCTTGGATGACGCCCGTTTGATGACGCGCCTACAGTGGAGGTCACGGCTCGAGGTCCGATCCACCCCCACACCGGCATGGTGGTCAACATCTCCGACATGAAGGTCTGGATCGAGAGGGCCATCATGGATGTCATGGACCACAGGAACATCGACAAGGATGTGCCGTACTTCAGGTGAGAACGGGCCGCACTTCAGGTGAGAACGGGTCGTACTTCAGGTCAGAACGGGCTGCACTTCAGGTGAGAACGGGTCGTACTTCAGGTGAGAACGGGTCGTACTTCATATCAGAACGGGCCGTTAGAAGGTCAGAACGGGCCGCACTTCAGGTCAGGACGGGCGGTTAGAAGGTCAGAACGGCCGCACTTCAGGTCAGGACGGGCGGTTAGAAGGTCAGAACGGGTCGTACTTCAGGTGAGAACGTGCCGTACTTCAGGTCAGAACGGGCCGTTAGAAGGTCAGAACGGGCCGCACTTCAGGTCAGGACGGACGGTTAGAACGTCAGAACGGGCCACACTTCAGGCCAGAACAGGCCGCCCTTCAGGTCAGAACGGGTCGTACTTCAGGTCAGAACGGGCCGTTAGAACGTAGCACTTATTCACTTATCTCAAAATTCATTTTTCTCAAAGAACGTGCGAACTGCCCGCCTACACTAAATAATTGCTTAACATCGTACATCATTATAAGTGTTCTAAAAAAAACGGCTTGCATAACACGCATGTCGATTTATGTACATCTATGTAGCACGGTTCATTGCCGAGCCTCGGCCAAATCCGTTTAAATACGATGCCAATTAACCCGGCAGGCGGTGGCCTACCAGCCACCTTCCGCGCGGTGGGGGGGGGGGCATTTTTTGCCCCCCCCCCCCCGTATCTCCGAAACTACTGGACGGATCCGGAAAATTCAAACGGCGTTCGATAGCCCTGTCAAATTTGTCGAAGGAAACCAAATTTCATTGACCTCGGGGTCACCGATGACGTCACAGGTCAGGTCAAAGATAAATGTTTCACCGTTCACGGGGCTTCTAGGGAAAGCGCTATAACACCGAGTAAAACGCATTTTGTCGAAAATCAGCGATAAGGCGTCAGTTTATAGTACATATGTTGCTATTCGAGGTCACTGGTCATACCAGGTCAGGTCACAGGTCAGGTCACCAAAGGTCACCAAGGGTCATCACTCACCACATCAGCCCAACTTTACTAAGGTTATGCGATGCATGTTTTATGGCCAGTTTTTCATTTCCAACTCAATGGTGTTGGTTATAAGACCATCAGGTACGGTTTAGGTCACTTTTTGGTGGAGGTCAGGTCAAGGTCAGGTCAAAAAAGGTCAAATTTCAAAGTTGATATTTTTGCATAAAATGGGTATCGATTCGATGCAGCTCGTCACGGGGTCTAATGCTGGTCTTTGTTTTGCGCTACGAGGTCTAGAATTGCTAAAAATTGAGTTTGAAAATTTGACGTCATCAATTTTGAACAGTTTTTTTGCTATAACTTGGCCAAAAAAGAGTTATCGATCTCAAATTTGGTATGTAGATAGAAGGCGGTAGGGACTATCACATATATTCCGGTTTTTTTTCGAAATTCAAAAAACTTTTTGGATTTTTTGGCTATTATATTCAAAAATCCATTTTTTGATTTTTGGGGGTCAAAATCCAAAATTTCGAAAAACCGAAATAGCAGTTTTGTAGCCCTTTTGATTCCACACCTTTTATGTCTGAAATATGTTTCTGTATCTCTAAAGCTGTAGGCCTGACAGCTCTTCCCGCGAAACCTTTTTTTGGGTCGAAAATGGCAAAAATGACGTCACTCAGACGTCATTAGCGGCCAACCTATCATAGCCTTTGGAAAATTTTTGGTCACCATGTGCGCTAGCTGCTCCCGGGAGGGTACTGAAAGTTTGGTGACGATCGGCGCAGCGGTTCTCGAGATATATTGAAAAAAAAACTAAGGGGGGGGGCAAAAAAATGCCCCCCCCACCGCCTGGAAGGTTAAGCAGCCCTGTCAGCTAGACGTGGACAATTTCGATGTAATTGGCTATTTTACTGGACCAACTACCGAACAAGGAAGCCGATTATGTACTCACTCATTAATAAGCCGATTTACAAGGCGACATGGCGCGTCTTCATTAGTCCTCACAAAATCGCCTAGAAACCGATCCTTCGCAAAAATATTCGAAGGCGGCTGTGCTAATAATTGACCCAATTATAGCCTTTCCTATTTATTTACTTATTCACAACCACTTACCCACCTGCCAACGGGCAACGTAGCCTACAGATTAGCCCCTAAGGCCAAAATGGAGCACACAACTGCTGTGTTGCATGAAGTAGTAAATGCACAATGCAAACGGATTTCGCACTGTCCATCGGCCGCAGCTCTAAAACTCGCGAGTACTTTGAAGCAACCACTTGGTAGAAAGTCCAATCACCGAGTTTGGTGTGTCTAAGAGATGTGTCCATGTTTGATGTAGGTAATTTAATGAGTCTCCTTTCAACAAATTGACTTTTATCCACAGGGAAACTGTCTCGACGGCGGAGAATATTGCCGTCTTTATCTGGGAGAGCCTGCAGCCGTTCCTGCCCTCCGAGGTCACGCTGTTTGAGGTCAAGCTGTTTGAAACCGACAAAAACATTGCCGTATTTCGCGGCGAATATCAGTGAGGTATACCCCAGCACAGGTACAGTGGTGAGCGAAATAATTATGGCGACACCTGCGGGACCAAGTCGACAGCGATTTGATGTGAGAACCTTTTATATACGATAGCTAAAGTAACTATTTAGCTATCCCCAGGTGTTATGCTTTTGTGTATATCTATGTGATAAAGCCTGACTAAACGGATGTGACCAAGTCAGATATATTCGTGTTCTGCATTCATTTGCACAAATTTATTCCTTATTTTATTTATAGAAATATTGATACAACGTTGAAGGCAGATCGTTGCAGCGAATACGTTTGGGACCAATGAATAAATACAGTTTGTGTCTTGTATGGTGTATTTTTATGATCTAATGCGACATTACATATATGTCTCATCACAGTTTCGCGCAGGGCGGGAAAATGAAGCAGTCCCGCTCAGTCCCTTTACATTTTCAAAACATTCAAGCATCCGCGTTTCGCAACGTTATTGTATGGGTTCGTCAAGTTTTTTTTTTTACAAAAACGCAGCACATAGTTTTAAGTCTTCATTATTCCCACCTACGACACAAGACAGAGGGGCACAACTGTAAATCAGTATACAAAACGAGGGCTTCACGTGAAACGGGTACCGACAGAAAATCAGACACAGATCATAACTCAACAACGACCTCACGAGTGACTCGCTATCACATTGAAGAAATGATACACCTCATCGCTATCATATACAGCCACCTCCGTTTTGCAAGTGGCGCATTTAACGGGATTGAAGAGTTCCTGTGAGTCAGCCGGCGAGGAGCGGTCGTCGGACTCTTTCTCTCGACAGCACCGCGCCGTCCTCGGCGCTTCGGCGGCTCTTTGAGACGATATCGGAGCGCCTGAGTCGAGTCCACGTCACAATTGAAGACGAACATGGCGCGGTACTGATTACTGTATAGCTCGTGTCTGTGAAGAAAATGAAAGGACCGATCAGGTCGAATAAAAAACTGAAAACACTTAGAAGAAAATAATTTCATTACACATAACATCAGAGTTTGTAGTGAGCCAGAAGGATGAATTCATGATAGAATACACATGAGATATGTGTTTGGGACGCGTTCGCTTACCTCTGACAATCGAGACACAGCATGGTCATACAAGCAGGACAGTTGAGCACCGCGTCACTGTGCGGCAGCTTAGTGGGCTTCGACTGTAGGTTTCCAGTGGAGCTGTCGGGAATGGTACGGTCAGAAAACTCCCCAGCATACAGTCGAGTTTGGCTTGGTGAAATCCCAGACTTGTTTACATGCCGGACTACAAAGCAATGGGCCACTAGCAGTATGAATGTTACGTTACAAATGTTACGAAAGCAGGGCGAATGGCTTTTCCGCGCCCTCTTCACCAACTCTGCTACCTCTCCTAAAAGCGTGAAGTATTTTCGTACTCGCAAAAATATGACGGAGCCAAACAGCCTGCTGCATATGGCGATCGACGGTGATCGTCCAGTGATCGTCCATATCCGAGCTTCATGAGATGATATAGAACCAAGAACCTCGGACCCACAACCGAATAGCGTCTAATCACTATGTGGCGCAACAGCTCTGCCGGGTTTTGCTCTCGTTTCTGGAGCATGGGCGGCAACTTTCACTTTTAGTACCGAGCGGTGGCGGTAGCCAGAACGCCGCCGGCCCCGTCGACCGACGGCCGATTGGATTCCGGAGGAGGGCAAGGACCGGTGCGCAAATGAAAGTCGGCTGCACAGAACAATGATCATTTGACATCAAAGATAAGTAACTGTTTGAAATATTGGTTAAAGTGACAAGCGTGGCAAGAAACGAAACAAACGTTCACGTAAAAAAAATGAAGAAAAAAGAAGACAGAGACACATTTCGGGGTAAAAATTCAGAAACGTTGAGTTCGAATTGACCTTACGGCTCATGTGCCTTTAAATAAAGCCTTGATCAAAATGCGTTCTCAGAAAGGAGATCGGGCTTATCAGAATCAAGCAGCAGTTTGTAGCACAAGGAACCATTGAATGACAGGCCATGGAGAGAGCCGAGCGATTACAGGACACCGCAGTGCAACCACTGCAAGTGTCCAGACATTTGGGCGTGGTAACCGTGAATTCCCGGTGTCGCCCGTCCCGCGGGCGTCGTCCCCAGCTGTGTCACCAGGAGTGGGTGGGCTCCCACGTTAGCCGTAGCCTAGGGGGGAGGGGTAAGGAAGAGGAGGAGCAGGAGCCTTCCTGTAATTGGGCGCATCAGCCTGTTGGAAGGATGACGAAATAAATAATAAAAAATAAATAAGAATCAGTGCAGGGTTATTGTGGAGGACGTCCAATGAAACTTCGACGTGCCTCATAAGTCATAATAGCGATGACGGCCATGCGGTCAAAACACCCTACGCATGAATTAAGTGCCGATAACTTCAAAAAGATGAGTTATAATTGGGGGTCAATCAGTGGTATATAGTACATATCTCTTCAGGCCAAAGAAGATGGCAAAGTATGAACAGAACGGTAATCAATTCGCCATATACGACAGGTATCGAATGCTTACATGATGATACGCTCAAATAGCGGAAGTAAGCACACCCCAAGACTAGCAAAAGTTCAGCCGTTGTCTGCTGAGTACATCTCTCCTTCAACACACATAATTTATCAAGGCAGCAATTTAAATCGGCAACGTGTCTTTGTAGCCCATTTTGGTAAAATACGACTCTCAGAGTCATGGAATTAAAAACAGAGGCGAGACATTGGGCTCGCTCAACCACGACTGGTGCGATGCAGACACTGAGCCTATTCCGCTGGAACATGACTGTCCCGATGGGGCAGATCATCCAGCAATGGTCGGAAGAGGCCCACCCTCCACCGTCGTCAGAGTGAGGTGACCGCCTGTTCGGATATGCAGGGCAGTGCGAGCTAGCATGCGGACGAATTGGCAACGGCGATAGGAAGGACGGATGGCAACATTCTAATCGCAATTTTCCCAACCTCCAAGAAGCTCTCGAACGCTTCCTAGGAGAATATGCCCCTCCCGACAGGCTGTGCCCGCTGCCGGTGCCTATTTGGTCAACTATAACCCTGTTAGCCGGCACCTTCTGCCTATAAGCCGTTGCCTACCTGCCGCCGGCGGGCTGGTAGCGCCGCCGCTGCCGGTCCACCCACTGCTGGTCCCGCTCGTCCATCTCCGGGTCGTACAACAGCTGATCGTTGGACAGAACCGGCCGGCGGCGGCGGCGCCGCTCCGACCGCTTACTACCGGGGTCGGCCGCCGGCGCACCCGCCGCCCTGCCATCTGACGGGGAGACGAGGAACAAGCAGTTAGAGCATCTGCCGCCAGGTAGTGGTAGGAAGAGGATTCAGTCAGCATTCTATAGATTCAGTCAGCATACGAACACAAACCTCGGATTCGGAGGCTCCCGGACGACGAAGATTGTACATACGTCGTCCGACCAATGGCGTTCGAGGTCAGCGGGGGCTTGGCCGCAGTTATCGAACGGGATTGGCCGGACAACGTAGAATTTTCTTCGCCCGAAGAGACTGCGAACGCGCCCTAAATAAAACAAAACAATAACGAATAAATGCGCACCTGCAGGAGATTCTGAGTCCAGCTTGGCATCGACGGTGGCTGCTGTCGCCGCATCCGCTGGCGCACCCGGACTTTTGGCGTCATCTCCCGTCTCAGAGTCGTCATCGGAGTCAAAATACACATCGTCATAGTACTCCTGTTCCGGTTTCTTGGCCTCTTGTTTCTTCTCTCCCTTGGAGGGGGTCTTGGCGCCGTTCGCCGACGCAGTACCGGCGGCCGGTGTGGCGGACGGCTGGGATGTCTCAGCTGCCGAGTCTCCCCGGCTCTCCGCCGAAGCGGCCGGTAGGGAACGGTCGCTGACGAGCTGGGGTGCGAGGCGGCGGCAGTGCGCCACCATTGAGGCTGACAGCTCGGCGTTCACGGCCCGCTCGAACTCATCCTCAACCACCACGGGCTCTGGAAGGTAAGATCAGTGTGAGAAAAGAGTTGGAAAAAAACATTGAACATACAGATGCGACGCCTAAGGTGTTATCATCATTTGAACGTGAAAAAAATATAGATCCCAGGATTGGTGTGAGACACGAATAGGTACAAAGAAAAACCTGGATTCTGGGGAAACAAGAGAAACAAGTTAACATGAAGATGCCTACGCCTACCTTCAGTCACCAGTTACGGTTATATTGCAATTACTTTTGAAAGTATTTTGTTTGATAGTGGATAAAGCACACCCATGTTTAGAGGACGATTACCTACACTGACACTGGCCTAGTTTGACACTGAGAAATGAAAAATTACATGACAACTTAGTCATGAGCAAGGTAGGTCTTCTGCATGATAAATAAAGGATAGAAGACATGAAAACAAGGCAAAAGCAGGACAAGCCTACTTTTGGCACCTCCTTGCTGCCTTGATCTGGGACGCTGTTTGTCCAGACGCTGAAGACGCTGCACAAGATCTTGAGAAAATTCATCATCACTGAAAAAAAAAATAAAGTATTCCTGGTTATTGATGACAGTGCTACCTAGTCTTGGAGTAGTCTCTTATTATAAAACAAAGCACAGTTTTATCAGTGTTGTGATTAAAACATAAGCTCAGCTTGTGCATGTGATGGTATCTAGTAAGCAAAAAAATCAATTTTAGCTCATAATTCAAACAGATCAAAGGTATCCAAATTACCCAAGCATCCATACCAACCAGCTGTGATCATGGACATTTTCATAAATCCCATCCTGATGATGATAACAATGATAATGCTACTGATGGCAGTGATGCTGATGACTGTGATCCCATATAAATGGCAATGGTATTTGCATTTTGCAGCACAGAACAGCAGGTGCCTTTAAGCTTGCCCAACCCACATAACTCATAGTTACCCAACACCATGCTGACCTGTCATCACTATCAATTGGTCTCAGGTCACACTCTTGGTCACTGTCAAGCTCAAATATTTCATCCAGTTTTTCAAGTGGCTCCATCTTGATCTCAACCTAAAAAAAAGAACACAATTAGCTCATCAGCACTCAGCAATCACTCATGTCTCACACTCCCCTTCAACCTAAAGGAAATATACCACTTTCCCCAAATCAGTTCCTTTTTTGCTACAGTTTATGTTTTTTATGCCTAAAATGAATGGAAAAGAAAATAATTTATGTTAACAAAATATTCTTTGCTATTTTCATGTGGGAAGAACTATAATTCATCTATTCTAGAGGTTAAATAGTGGTGGCACAGAGGCTTATTATAGGTTAACCAATAAACAATCATACTGCATAATTCAAAAGCAACTGCATGCTGATTGGCTGAGCTTAGCCTCTGAGACAGGTGGCTGCTTTCTCAGCATTCTTCTACAATGCACCAAGTTCCTCTACAAGGCACTTTTTCCAGATCTAGAAATGGAATATCGATTTTGCCTAGGGTGCTTGATGGGGCCTAACTGCTCCTGATTTGTGCTTATCTCAGCCTAAGCTACAAAACTGCTATTCCAATTCAAAACTCCATGTTAAAAGTGGTATATTTCCTTTAACCCTCGCCCGCACATGCCATTTTCCCATCCTAGAACGCACATGGGGGGGGTGGTTGCCACCCCCCCCCCGCGCCATTTCGTTCCTGTTGGAGATAGAGCTTAGCAGTAAAGACCAAAAAGATTCTTTGGGAAGAGACGAATCCAATGATACCCAGTTTTACCTTCTCAGGTCAGTCATTGACCTTCCAGGTCAGGTCAAACTAAAAAATGTTGCTGTTTTGGGTCACCGTTGGATATCAAGTGCGCTGCTTATCAAATACCGATGACGATGCTATTTTCTGGTGCCAAGCCAGCTAGAACCTCTTTGTCACACTACCCGACCAGAATTTTGCTGCTGAGGTCATTTCAGGTCAAGTTAGGTCAAGGTCAATTATATGTGTTTGTATGTCTGTGTGTGTCTGTGTGTATACTGATGTGTGCACCGATTGTTTTTGGGTCCATATTACATGAAATCATGATCTGAGAAGCTTTTACCAAAAATGCAGTCAAAAAACTTCACAAAAAGTAAATTCAGCTTGCCTAAAACGCAATTATCTTAGATGACCTAGGTTGACCTTGACCCTGACCTTGACCCCTGTACATCGTCGAACAACATGTTCCATGATAGGTGGGAGGTAAGACTGGCAAAAAAAGCCCGAAATCAGGGTGTCAAAAGCTCACAAGGCCCATGGCAAGCACAAGATGTTGAGAATTGGCCATTTGGGTCATGACATGACCTGAAAAACAAGGTCATATCTCCGAAACCAAAAATCACAGAAACTTGAAATTTTCAGTGGACATCAAGAAAGGATAGAGGAGCAGCTATACGAAAAATCAGCCTTCTAGCTTTAAAAATGTTGAGTGCAGAGCAGAAAGACTACCTGGGGGGGTGGCAACCACCCCCCCCCCCCCATGTGCGGGCGAGGGTTAAGCAGTGGGTGCATCAAGATATAGAGGATTCTTCATGGCTCCGAGTGGAAGATAAGGATATCTTTTCCAAGCGGGTTACTGAAAAACCGAGCGACGAACGAGCGAGGTTTTTCTGTAACACGCGAGGAAAAGATATCCAATCTTCCACGAGTGAGCCATGAGGAATCCTATATCTTTCTATGTTGAGGTTTATTCTTAATTAATAAAACACTATATTTAAATGCATTCATCTATCTAAAAATAGATTCAGAGTAGTTTGTTCTTACTTGATAAGTTTCATCCATAAACAATGTCGTTCGATTATTGACCCATCATCACTTGAACTATTGATTTTTCGCTATGAACCCTCGAGACCTTATCTTTGCGGGATGCAGAGATAACAAACTTTATCTTTGCATTTCAGAGGAGTGTGAGATAGAAATATCCCTGCACTGTAGACCCAATGGCAAATAAACCTCAACTAGAAAGATTGGTAAATGTCAAGTTTAAGTCCTAAGAAGATTTCATTGATAAATTTTTCATATTTTTGCATTATTTGACATCCTGAATCCAAAAATGATACTCATATGTCTCGCAAATAAAAGAAAAAAACATAATCAAACCTGACCTAACCTTACCTACTTACCTATAACCTACCAACCTACAACCTACAAACCTACCCTAACCTAACCTAACCTACAAACCTACCTACCTACAACCTAAAACCTACAAACCTACAACCTAACCTAACCTAAAACCTAAAATTTTTGCTGTTTCATATTCATATCAACAGCGCCACAATTGTAGTTAGGACCTAAACTTGACATATACCGAAAGATTTCCAGCTTCCTCATAAGTCATATGTCATGACACATAGGTTGTTTTTAAAACTAAACAAAGTAACGGACAGTACTAGAACCAAGGTCAATCCAAAATTGGAATTTGTCTTTTTGACATTTTTGAGTGATTTTGATTTCGTATCACCAATAAACTACATTATATAATACAATCATGATCTGTGATGCGAAGCCAAGAATCAAGCTCAAGATGCCATTTGTTTAAGAAGCTCATGAACCATGATGCATGTCATTGTTGTTAATATTCGAATTCGATGCTAGTAATTCAACTTAATTAGGAAGAATATCAACATGAAAGCCCAAAATAAATAATTATCTTACCAAAACTTCCAATCCCTTTTGCTCTCAGCCCGCGCGCTCACTCAGGGGGCTCAGGGGCTTGCACGGGGCTTGAAATGCATATGCAACACGCACGCCACAAACGTATCAAAACAATCCATTAAAAACGTTCCTGAAGAATAGTGTTGTCCTCCTGAAGTGGATAGGAGTGTACGAGGTGTGGCTAAAAAGAAACCGGACTGCTCTTGCTGACCATAAAGTAGGGGGCCCGAAAACTAGCGAGACACTGGACATTAATCTTTATCATATTGTCGTGATGTGTGTCATACGGCACCTCGATATCGCTATTATTCTCCTTTCCACAGCTCTTTGTTTTATTGATGACGCTGACGGTGGTCACTCCGGTCTGGATGTCCTCGACTGGTTCAAAATGGGTTTCCTTGACGACGTTTTTCATTTCAGGGAAGAGCCAAAAGTCACAGGGAGGGAGGTTTGGCAAATAGGAGGGTGCTTGAGCACCGCGACCTACTTTTCGGCAAAGAACTGCTTGACGCTAATGGCAGAATGCACGGGAGCGTTGTGATGGAGCACCCAGTTCTTTGCTTCCCAGAAACTCCACTTGGTGCGCCTGACTCGTGAAATGAGGCGTCCCAGGTCTTCCTTGTAGAAGTGGCTGGTCGACTGTGGTACACCTCCAGCACGAACTGGCGGTGAACGAATCCCCTATGATCGAAAAAGACGATCAATGTCGTCTCCACTCTCGACTTCGACATGCGCGCGGACGTTGATGGACCTCCAGACCTTGGGGTCATCACCGACATCCTCACGACCAGTGCTGAACCTCGTATGCCATTCAAACACTTGCATGTTACACATGACTTGCTCCCCATTAACAGCCTTGAACAGATTCAGCGTCTCTGTTGGACTTTTCTCCAGTCTGGCAATGAACGTGATGTTCCCTCTTTTTTCGAAGTTCATTGTAGAAGCCTGGCGATGACAAGGCCGCCGAACATCGATAAAACAAAGAGCTGTGGAAATGAGAATAATTGCGATATCGAGATGCCGTTTGGCACACATCACGACAATATGCTAAAGATTAATGCCAAGTATCTCGCTAGTCTTCTGGTCCCCTAATTTATGGCCAGCACGAGCAGTCCGGTTTCTTTTTAGCCACACCTCGTATTTAGGGCCTTGGATAGGAGGAACTCGAGGACTCATGAAGCCATGTCGCCAAAATGTTTGATATTCTCCTTAGAAAATGTTTGAAGAAAAAATTGAATGTAAAATTAATTTGCCCGCATTTCTTCAAAGTTTTATAGTTTTTTTCACGATTTACCTTCCCCAGCGCCTCTATCGGCAACTTATTGTACTATTAGTTCTCTTCAGATGAGCGCTGCGTGTCAGCAGGTCCCATAGAATATAGATGATAGAAGGCAGGTCCTGTGCAACGAAGGTAGCGACTAGCCGACTAGCGAGTAGTCAGTAGCGCATAGGCCATAGGTGGGAAATTGTGCCGCTCTGTGGGTGCTCAGGCGCAGCAAATCCGCTGCACACGACACGGCCGCCTCCCTAGCGGCGACCCTGACCTCCGCCGTCTGTTGCGTTGCGGCTCCAAAGCCAAGTCATGTGCGTGAAGTTGGCGTCGGATTCGGTTGGAAACGGAAGGTCGTAGAGCTTAGCGGAAAAAACCAACGGATTGCTCTCAACGAGATCTCGCGATTGGTGGTATATTTTTTGGTCCTAGGTCAACATTTGACCTACTTTTGACCGGTCAAAGGTCAAATTTTCGGAAAAATAGACTTTTTTCAACTTTCGGCGGCGATTGCGGCAAAACGGTGGGAGATATCGACTTGAAACCTTCACTATCGTGTTCCTTGATCAATTCTCTATCGTTTGGTATGTATTTCGTTTCCCTAGCTCTAAAAATGGCGCGTTGGGAGCGCCGGAAGTCGGCAAGGTCACAGTCGGCGGCAGAAATTCGAAAAATCAAAATTTAAATTTTTGAAATCTGATTGTATTTTTGGATTTGGGAGGTCCATTTGCTCCCTATAGAAGCTAATATTGCTGCATATTCCCATTGAGGTGACAAGAATTAGCAAAATAGTGGTTCGGGCGCTTTTCAAAAATAGTACCGGACGCTGTTCCTCTTGTGACGTCATAGCTCCGTGACCTGACCTGACCCGGTCAAATTTCTTATACCATATGATAGCCAATACTTGCCCCAACATGCATGGGAAGTTTCATCACGATCCATCAACCGATGTCCGTACCACCGGCAGGAAACCTCGGGTGTTGGCACTCAGTTTGTGAAAATCCGGCCGGAGGCTGTACCTCTTATGACGTCATAACTCCGTGACCTGACATGACCCGATCAATTTTTTTTCGGCAAAAGATGCGCAAAGGTTGCCCCAGAGGGTATTGAAAATTTCAGCCCGCTACGACAAGCCGTTTAGCGTGCACTTTGAAAAAACCTCAGGGGGGGGTTGATACAACCCCCCCCCCTAGGCGTTCTAGGGTTAAGGGATAAGGGATATGAGGCACGTGTGAAGTTAGTGGTGGTGCGGCTAGATATCGACCCGGGGAATCGCCTGGGACCATTCTTTTCGCGATCGGAAGAACCCCTGAGGCACTTTTGGCGCGCCCCGTCATTTAAGGGACGATTAAGGGATAAGGGATATGAGGCACGTGTGAAGTTAGTGGTGGTGCGGCTAGATATCGACCCGGGGAATCGCCTGGGACCATTATTTTCGCGATCGGAAGAACCCTTGAGGCACTTTTGGCGCGCCCCGTCATTTAAGGGACGATTAAGGGATAAGGGATATGAGGCACGTGTGAAGTTAGTGGTGGTGCGGCTAGATATCGACCCGGGGAATCGCCTGGGACCATTCTTTTCGCGATCGGAAGAACCCCTGAGGCACTTTTGGCGCGCCCCGTCATTTAAGGGACGATTAAGGGATAAGGGATATGAGGCACGTGTGAAGTTAGTGGTGGTGCGGCTAGATATCGACCCGGGGAATCGCCTGGGACCATTATTTTCGCGATCAGAAGAACCCCTGAGGCACTTTTGGCGCGCCCCGTCATTTAAGGGACGATTAAGGGATAAGGGATATGAGGCACGTGTGAAGTTAGTGGTGGTGCGGCTAGATATCGACCCGGGGAATCGCCTGGGACCATTCTTTTCGCGATCGGAAGAACCCCTGAGGCACTTTTGGCGCGCCCCGTCATTTAAGGGACGATTAAGGGATGAGGGATATGAGGCACGTGTGAAGTTAGTGGTGGTGCGGCTAGATATCGACCCGGGGAATCGCCTGGGACCATTATTTTCGTGATCGGAAGAGCCCCTGAGGCACTTTTGGCGCGCCCCGTCGTTTAAGGGACGATTAAGGGATAAGGGATACCTGCTAGGGCAAAATTAATGTCATATTCGTGCTCCCCGTCCCCGAATTGACCAGATATGACGTTTTCAAGTGATTCGGTACTCGACGCTGAATACGAATCCGAATCCGACGCCAACTTCACGCACATAGCCAAGTCGGCGTGGTTTTTGCCTTTGGAGAGCTCGAGCACAGCACCCATAGTCCAAAGGCCAGATTTACCAACATAAAAATAGCCGCCTGCCGGAATTTTTTGCCTTAAGACCACTTCACATACGGAGCGTAAGTGCGCTGGGCACGTAAGCGGATAGGGCTTTACAGCCGTACCGTATGGAGTTAATGGCCCAGATAAGGAGAACCGGATTTTTAGAACTTATCCATACCTTCAAAACTCATGGAAACGTCTTAAATTCTTCAAATTTTGAGTACCCCAGTGCGAAATTCGCCCCGACGGGTTGTCGGTCGTACCCCAACCACATTTCACACCACTATGAACAATAAATGCACACACTGAAATCGTTATTACCGATATGCTCATCCAATCAAGTTTCGATAAACCCGTTCATCATCATCTCCTGCGGTTTCGAACACGCCTGTTGGGTGGTGCGGTAGACCGCGCCCAAAACCAGGGCCCCGGTAACGTGAGGTAGCCGAGTCGGGGCAGCGTGCGCTGACCCAAGCCGGGGCCGCGCGTCCTCCCGGTGTCATGTGATAGCCCGGGGCTGCCCGCGGGGATGCGGTAGACCGCGCCCAAAGCTGCGGCCCCGGCTTGGGTCAGCGCACGCTGCCCCGACTCGGCTACCTCACGTTACCGGGGCCATGTCTTTGGGCGCGGCTTCTGCTCATACTTTGTGGTGCGGTGGTGGTGCGTCGGGCCGCGCGCTCTGACTTCGGCCAAGAAAAATGCGTCAGCTGATCATTGTCATTTCTGCCACTTGCGTGTGGTGAAATGGGGTCATAACTTAAGAGACGGCTTTTTCATATCAATTATTTTACATAAAATCATATTTCAAACCATAAATAATGTTCAACAGCCAAATAAAAGAAACAATACCAATACAGGCTTACAGTTTAAGGCTCGACATTGTGTTGTCTACGATTAGACAGCTGATAACTCATTCCCGTACGTCGTAACTCTATAATGACCTTTGCTTATTGTCACATGTGCGCCGCATTCGCGATTGTTGCCGACGCCTGTTTGCAGGTCAGCCCACTACAGTTGTTATACATATCGAAAAAACCGATTAACTTTTAGGCGAAAAAGGCACTATTCCAGGCCCATTTTTGATTTTCTTTGCGATATTAGGTAAAAACAGAAGCTTCTTATCCTAGGAAAAATAAAATGGGAAATCTTTCAAAGGTGGCACACTACCTTTAACGCTCCGTATGTGAAGCGGTCCGCGCCGGGCCGGTGCTCCGAGATTCCGCGCCGGGCCGGGGGGGTTCTGAACACCTCCCTTCTAACTCGGCTCCTGGGCCACGTAGAGACACGCGGTAAGCGGAAATCGAAAGAACGTCCAAAAAAAGGACGAAAACACTTTGGTCATTTTTTGGGTCAGGTCAAAGGTCAGGTAGGTCACCAGAGGTCACCAAGGTAAAATGTTGACTATTTCAACATTTTGAAAACTGCCGACGGTTAGGTATCTCGGGAACCGATAGAGCTACAGCGCCGCGGAAAAGCGTATTCGATAGCCCTTTTACAGACCTTTCTGAGCAATGTTCTCAGATTTGACCTCAGGTCAACGGTTTAGCCTCCAGAGGGCAAAAATTCCAAAAATAGCCGTTTTTACGAAAAGCGTTTTTTCGGCAATAACTTTTGACTAAAAAAAGCCATGATATTATTTTTGCCAGCATCGTAATCCTCTCGTCGAGACGCGTCAAATGAGCTATAATTTGACCTTGAAGGGTCAACTTGAAAATTTGACCTCAGGTCAAGGTCATGACCTGACCGGAAAAGGTCAT